AGCACAGACAAGTTATTATATCTCTCTGATTTCATCTGTAAAATAGGAATAACTACACTTTACAGAGTAGTTTTAAGGATCAGAAATACTGTATACAAGGTATCTAGCAGATAGTAGATGCACAACAAAAATAGTCATTATTAGTGTTATACAATTATAAAATTCAAGAGATAGAACTGAAACATTTTGTCGCCCTCGTCTACATGAGCCTGACAAAGTCAACATAAATCATGACTGTAGAGTTAAAATGCATCAAAGCTGAAAGAACAGCAGAGATCTAAGCCAATTCCCATATTTTATCCATGAAGAAATGAAGGCCCTCAGCAGAAATGTCACTTGCTTCACAGCACAGAGCAATCAGTGGTAAAAACAAAACTAAAACCTAGATCTCCTGGTTGTTACCCCCAACATTCTGTCCACCAAGGCCCAACTGCTTCATCATGACCTAATGCTATAGAAAATCATCAGGGGGCACAGCTGAACCTACAGTTTAAGCTAAGCCAATGGACTAAGTGGGCCAGATAGACTCAGGTTTGGAAAGCACAGCAGGGTGAATGCACAGTGGAGAGGTCTGGGAAGGTAAGACGCTAACACACTAATCCTTGTTGCTCTGCGTGGGTTTTGTTTTCTTCAGTTATCTAAATTTTCTACTTCTCTACAAGAAACATATATTGCTTTTGAAATAAATAAAGTTTGTTTAGTCACTTTATTTATGCTGTGATGGACTGTAAATGCAGGCAGTGTGGTATAACAGAGAAATTATGATGGAACTGGGGGTGAGACAAATGAGTGCTCCAAAAGCAGCCCCACTACTTACTAGTCCTGGGACCTTGGGCCAGATACTGGACCTGACTGAGCCGGTTTCCTCCTATGTGGCAGGAGGGTAACTGTAAACTTGCTAACGTGTAACAGTTTAGTGCATGAAAAGAACATAGCACAATGCCTGGCACAAAACAGATACATAACGACATGGTAAGTAGTATTTGAGCCACATTTGCATCTGTGGTTATATCCTGAACCATTAGATGATGCCTCTGCCCCTGAAAAGATCATGTCATTTCATTCCATGCTCCTGTCATTTGTGTGTGCCAGTAAAATTTACTGGGCAAGTTAATGGTAGCTGACTTTCTGGGTTCTGAAAGAGAGTAAGTGCAAACATGGAAAGGAATAGCTTTTCCATCATCCGATGCATCTCTTGAGTGCCTTGACTAACTGAAGCTGTCAGCTATTGAGTGTAAGCAAGTAGTGACCACAATATGGAATGGTACAAGTCTTTTTTTAAGAGACTGCTTTCATCAATAACAATGAAAAGATTTTGAGAGTGATAAGGAAACTCAGCACTGACACTTCACTACTCCCCTCCACTGAGAGTTTCAAGGACGGCATAGGGTAGAAATAACTCTGGATTGAGAATAAGAGTATCTGTTCCTTTCCCAGCTCTGTAATTACATACTTGTGACCATAAGCAAGTCATTTCACCTCTGCGGATCTTGGTTTCCCTTCTGTAAAATGGGAAGTTTGAACCAGATGAATTTCAGCTTCAAAATCCTGCGGTCTTGTTCCCACACATTTTCAAGGCCTCCTGTGGCCAGAGCCCAAGCACTCATGGTACACGTCACCCTCTCCCCAGCAGGCTCCATCTGCTCTGGCTGAACACTCACCAGGCTCACTCAGGGTTTCTCCTCTGCTTTGCTCTTCAGTGCATATGGGGTGTTAGGCTCTCCCTTCCACTTACCCACTTCCTGCCGTCCTGGCAGACTCAACACAAGCCTCCCCCACCGTAAGACATTTTCTCTGACCATTTCAGTCTTCTCTAACCTCACTATCCTTTGGATAGATATTGTTTAACATGTCTTTATAATACTTCCTGGACTAGACTAGGAAACACATGGAGGGCTGGGCTTCAAGTCTGAGACCACTTCCATATCCTCCACATAACCCAACATAATGCTACACATCCTGAACCTTCCTTTGCGCTTTTGTAAAAAAGATACCACCACCACCAATCTCCTAGAGCTGCTGGAAGAATAAACGAGGCAATAATGTGACAATGCCCAGCACTTTGACTAGAATCAATTAGGAAATCAAATACTAATTTTCTTCTTTCCCTCCCTCTTTCTGTATTTGGCGACTGGGCTTCCCCACAAGATGGTCTACTGAGAAATGTCTTCATTTGAGAGATGGAAATCTTGGTTGTGCTAGTAGCCAAAGAGGATCTTGAGCAAGTCCCAATTTCTCTGCAGCTTCAATTTTTTTCAAATGAAGATAATGGCACTTGTTCTTATCTCTTATGATAGGAAGATAAAATGAGATAATTCATGAGGAGGCACTTTCTTTTGAAAAGCTACCAGCATTATTATTTTTCATAAGTCCTAGTTTCAGAAAGAAAAATCTTAAAACAGCACAAGAGACAGCAAGATGTCAATGTTAACGGGTGATTTGATGATGACTGTGAAAATCCCACTCTTGATATAGACTAGAAATGTCAGAAAGTTGTATTACTGTTCCTTGGGGTAGAAAAGCACAGATACTGAAAAGATTAGGAAGCTTTCTTTTTTGAACGCAATCACCTGGGGCATTACTCATTTCCCAGGCTGGCGTATTTCTCAGTTAAACAATATCATAAACACACCTGGCGGGGCTTTGTGGGCCTCAGAATCTGGGCATATCCATTTGACAGTGCTAACCACAAATTAATAAAAAAAATTGTGACATTAAAACCTTTTATCTATTGTAAATAAACTTCATTATCATCATCTCTTCTGCATTGAAAGTATACCAAGGTTAGAGGTGGGAAAACAGAAAAATACGGTCCCCAAAATAAAGTGGGCTTTTTTGGTATCAATAAAATTTAACAGCACAGGGTATGTAACATAATACAACGTAAGAAAGAGCTACTGCACATGTCGAGGATTAAAATATTTCCGTAAAGAAACATTTCTGTCCTCAAATCATTTTGTGGGGGAAAGAAATGAAGAACATGATTAGGGAAGGTAACTTGGGAGAAGCATTTTAGAAGAAAAACATTTCTAACAACAACAAAAGCATCAGAAATTGATAACAAAAAAGATTTTAGAATTATCACTTAAGGACTTTGCTTTTTTTCCATTTCAGAATGTAATCCAGACAGGGAGCTAAGTAGAGGGAGATATGTGGTACAAATGAGAGAAAGTGTGTTTGTGTGCACGCACGCACACGCACACACACATGCACACGCGTGTGCTGGGGAGGGAGATCTAATCTGTGAATTTCTTCTAGTATTAGTTTACAAAGTCAATTAAGGAATACCTATCCAAAAAAGATCACCACTCTAGTAAGAAGTCATGTAAAAATGTATTTTCTTATTTTTTCTTCGTTAAACACCTAACTACATTTTTAAAAACATTTCAGCTTTATTACTTTGTATAAATACGCCCTTGCCGTGATTTGTAATACATTTTATAAGTAACTGGAGGAGATTTCATGCATCGCTAATTCATACATATAAATGTGAAGTTTGCATTAAATATCTCTAAACAAAATCCTACTTCCTTGCTATTTTTAGAAGGAATAGGCTAAAGAAGAGACAAGAGGACTCTGATTACAAAAACTGACCCTTTTAGAATTAAGGCTATTCTGTTTTGAGCATCAACCTGCTACTAAAACATCCCTGGTACCAGGATTTTAAAAGGTCTGGAAATACTACAATGGTTGATTGGCTTTAAAAATAACATGTTAGAACCAGGGAGAGCAGTGATTAGAAGTAGCTGGCAACACTCCAGAGTTGCTTTTTAGTACTCTTTTAAACTCCTTTGGCTACCAATTCTCATCTCACACCATTTTTAGGTTTATGCCAAGTAAACCAGGACACTGGTATCACAAAGTGTAGAAAAGATCCAAGCAGCATACTACCCACATACACTCTAAATCACTAAAATTTTTCAGGCCCTGTCTTGTTTGTGTACGCTAAAATATATAATAGAATCTTCCTGAAGATGAGCATATTTTATAGCTTTCTTGGAACATATTATGGTATTTATTGCTTACAATGGTATTTTCTACAACATTTCTGTCAATAAAAGTAGAATTTTTAAGATGAAATGTACCTACAGTTTCACAGTTCAAATTTCCATTAAGAAAAAATTGAAAAGAGACATCAAGTGGGCAAATAAATGATTTTAAAAATTAATGCTTCAACTGTAATGAAAAAGAGTAGATATTTCTTGAAAATAAGATAAAGATGATTATTTTGTCATTTTATTAATATAGTTAATAAATTACAGTTTTATAAAGTAAAGAAAAAAGCTCTTCTAGAATTGTTACCATTAACCAGTGGCTTATTAAAAAACAAAACAAAGCAAAACCTCAGATTGTTTTAATTATCTTAGAGTTCTTATATTTGTACCTCTCCAAGAAATAGTTTATTATAATGTAAACACTAAAGAAATATTTAGATGGTTTAGTATTTTTTAGTCTAGAAATCTATAAAATGCTGATTTCCCTAGAGATACCATTCTTAGCCACCTAAACAAAATGTAAAACACTATTTAGCAATATTCTTTTTAAATAGCTGAATACCTTTAAACAAGATAGGTCTATGCTGATTTAAATTGTAAGTTGAAGTCTAGGAAAAACAAAGTCTACGTAATACTCAAAAGGCCATGGAGTCATGTAAAATTAATTGTTTAAGCCAAACATATTCATATTTAAATAAAAATTAAATAGCATTGGATTAAATACCAACCATTCTTAATCATGGTTTAAGTCTGATAACCAAAATCAAAAATTTAATGCCATACAAAATACATCTCACAAACTAACCAATGCAAAGCTCTAAGCTTTAAACTTTTTGATAGTGTCAATAAAATCTCCAGGAAGGGAGAATATTGCAACTCTCCTTGGAACATAGGTGTCTTAAATCATGGTTAAACAGACAGAATGTTAAGAATGGTGTGGTTTTTATTTTCTATAGCAGGTTTATTGACACTTTTTTCTAGTAAAATTTGAAAATCTGACACTACCTGTCCACATAGAAGGGGAAACAAAACTTGGTCAAAGTCTGTAGAACTTCCTGTGGAGAGAAAGAGAGATAATTTATACATCTAATGGGACCAATAAATCTAACATTAACCACAGCACACAATCTAGCAACTTTACCCTAAAGAAAGAGGAGACAGATGAAGAAATATGGGCTTTATCAATTACATGGGAGGAGTGCTAGGCAGTCAATCATGAGAAATAATAAACATGATCAAACTTCATTAAAAATGAAAAATTAATCAAGAATCACACATGGGCAAGCAGCAGGAGCCATGCAGGAAAGCTCTGAAGGGAGGGAGGCGGTTGGGTTGCTGAGTGTTAACACCCCTCCAGGGACCATCTCCAGCCTGACCATATGGATCAGAGTGAATAACACCGAGCCACATGGGTTTGGCCTGGCAGGGCCGCTGTTGCTGGCACCGTTTTTGCCTGTTACCTAGGAACAGAGGGGGCCGGGATTAGACAACGCTTCCCAACATCAATAGGCCAAATCACAGCAGAATAGAAAGCCAACTTGAAGATAATTGTCCCTGAACATTGTCAACTACATTTTTTAGAGTTTAAAACTTCATTTACTTACTTTATAAAGAAGTTGCCATTTCTGGCATAAATTTATTTTGGAACCAAACCATAACAATTTTAAGTATGCACTATTTCTAGTTAAATATTATTATCATAATGGAACATACTTACTTGCTTGTAATTTACCAAACTCTAAAGCAAACTACCAGTATAAATACAAACATACAGGTACATAAAACCAAGAACATTATTCAGGAGTAGGGTACAAACAGTAGAGTCACATCTCAAAGATGAATAAAAGACAATCTCTTTACATTAAGCAAAGAATAAATACTGATACATGAGACACAACATACAATGGTGTGTGACTTTTCCTAAAAGATAAATTTCACATATACAGCGTACACATATATAAGTAGTTAATTATTACTTCCTTCATAGAATTTTCTTTAGCTTGACTTCATTTAACTGCTGGCTTAAACAGCCCACAGTTGGTGCTTATCATAAGTTCATAGACCAATGTTATAAATTTTAAAAAAGTATCCCTTTCATGCATTTGATTTGCTTTTTAACTATTAAAAACCCAACTTCAAGACAAAATGAAGAACCCATTTTTCAGTCACTGAGAAGCTGGTTCAAATTAAAACAAACCTGCCCATTGCAAATCCTAATCCAAGTGATAAATTAAAGATCAGTTTACAAATGTAGCACTTTTCTAACCAATAATAATGAATTATCAATGCTAACTGAATTGATGCTTCTCGCTTCATTTATTTTTAAAACCAGTTCTATCATTCAAGAAATAAACCACATCAATCTAATAACCCACTCAATGAAGCAGAAAGCACATTGACTTGCTCTGCCAGAGCATGTTCCGCCTACATAATTCAATTGAGCATATCCTATTTTTTAATATCGTCTTGGACTGGTACTATGTATATCACAGCACTGTTAAGGCATGTCAAGAAATAGTAAATGAATAGGAAACTAAAAAGTGGAAAAGTAGATAAGAATACCTATTCTAAGAGGCATTATTTATACATTTTTAATTTTATAGAGTAGCATTCAGAAGTCCCTGTATATTGTTTTTAGACTAATCATGTTTAAATAAATTGCAATAGGTAACAGAGAATCAGAACAAAGGCAATTTCTCAGCACGTGATGTTATTATCAGGCAAATACAGGAAAAGAGATCAAATAAAACATTCATTTTAACGTCTGTAGTTTTAATTACAAAATATACTATAATCCATATACACAAACCGTTATGATTTACACACACGAAAATTCCTTACAAGTTTCATTCCACTTCAAGTTTCAAATAATACCACAAAGCACCCCTTAACTTCAGTATATGTACCAGCCATTCTTTAAAACTCACTACCAAGTGCTCACTCATTGCCAATATCAGCTACAAAGACAGCTATCTTTTACCCCTCAAAAGTTACAGGTGCAAAAAGCACTTCTCTACTCTATGCTGGAGTTGCGCTGGCAAAAGGCCTCAAAGATTTTTGAAAGAAAGGACCCCCATGGCTACAAGAAAGCATTGTGCTCTACAGCAGAGTCAAAGAAATCTAATATGCCCAACTTATTACTCACTACAATATAGAAACTACTTACCACTTTCTAATGTCAAGTGTAATAACCAAACTTGAACTTGTCTGTCAGATAATATTAGAACAAATATCAAAATACCCAATACAGGCTGAGTGCAACCCACCTCCCATGAGCTTTCCTTTTTACCCAAGAAGGCAGTGATAAGTCTAATTAAGCAATAGGGCAGGGGGAGGGGAAGAGGAAAGAGAATATAGGCAAATGTAGGCACATGTTTGTACATTACAATATGTTTCTTCATGTTTGTGATACTACAAGAGCTTGATATTCCAATTTAAGTCAAACAAGATGGTGGTGGGCTGTCAGAAGAGAAAACAAAAATGAGCATCTACTCTGTTAGGCATATTCACACATTATCTCAATCAGATCTGAGATATCTAATTCTTAGCTTGGGAAGCAGAGGACAGGAAGAGGGAGGGAAAAACAAGCAATGTTCTTGGTAGATGAAAACTGCTGAAATAAATTCATTTTCTTAATACTGATGTTTTCCTTAAATATAAACATTCAACTACCTTATCCCCTTTTTCCAAAAGAAAATACAATTATTCAAATATGAAAAGCACCACTCTTCAAGAGAGGGGGCTTTAAAACCCTGATTTAAATATATCTTGAGCATTCTATTTACGGGAGTATCCCATGGTCTTTCAATATTAACTTTACTGGGGAAACAGTCACTAACCAGTTACCACCCTTTTTTCTCTCTAGAACCTATGTCTTTGGCTAGGGGACTTTCTTTGTACACAGTCATTTTCTTGTTCTCTCCCCCATTTCTCTTGCCTACCCAAGCTCTTTTAAACAACCAGCCTCAGTACATCCTCAACTACCGCCACATAAATCGGATCTTGGAGATGCAGCACAGCTGATGAAATGTAAATGACCTCATTGCTAAGGCAGGGGGTGGGGAGGATTGTGTGCCAGCTCTCCAGATCAATTCCCAAGTTTATATTTTCACAAATCTTTTTATGTACAGTTTGATTTTTTAACATTTTAATGAGCAAAAAAGTGAATCTATAGTAGCCAGTCACCACAGTTAAAGTGCAGGGCATGAACTAGATCCCAGGAGGGAACCAGTCCACCATGTCACCACTGGCTTTAGGACATTCGCCACCTGGTTCCATGTCCCCAGGTTCCAACTCTTTTCATAATCAAAACACTGCTGACATTATAAACCCCAGACGGGTTTTCTAAAATCCCTCCCAATCAATATATCCAACACATAACTTATTGGAGACAACACTGAGCTCATTGATTAAGGTGAGTTCAGTAGCAAAGTTTTCAAAATAAATGAGACAGGAATACAGCATTCAACCCCTTTGTGTCACCAGACAATTTATGAAATAGGCAATTTCCAAAAGGGCTTTTCTAACAAAATATATGATACTTCATGTGGGAAGAAATAAGAGCAGAGGGGGCAGGGAGGAAATGTGGCAGAGACAGTTGCAAAAACCTTTCAGTTATGCATATATTAAAGGGGAGAGTGTAATAGAAAAGCAACATCTACAAAGCTCTGCCCACAAGGAGCTACCAAGCCTCAGAGTATGAACCAACATATGAAATTAACACATCTAATGCTGGATACACTTGCAAACGAAATTCAGAAATGAACTCCAGATTCATCTCTGTCTACTTTGGATTCATTTCACCCAATTCAAATTCTCATCTGGTCAGAAGGCCCATTAAGGGAATTTACTCCTATCTGGAGAAAGTAGATTATGTTCTCCTGACACTGAGCCATTTGCTCAAGAATCTAGTAAAGTTTTCAATTTATATTATCCATTATAGAATCCTATCTGGAAGCAAAACTTCAAAGACTAAATTCAGTGAAGTTAACTAAGATTATTAATAATGAGAAGGCTAAACCAATTCACCCTGAATTTGGGGTGCAAGGTGGGGGCATAGGGAATCCTGCAACAGCCGTCATTTTAGATGTCAAATACTCTGTTTTCATTGCTTCATTGAAACCTACAAACAAAAATTAGTTTTATTTGGCAGATGAAAACAACTGCCAGTCAAACACAGATATACACACCCCACAAATAAATGCCATCTTAAGATAAAAGCGCGGGCTGATTATAGTGTCCACTGGACTTACAGAATATTGGGAGATGAGGCATGTTCTCAATAGTTCAAAGGGAAAAAAATGTGTGCATAAAAACATTTAAATAAAGCAAAGGGATAGCTTGAATAAATGAACGTATTTTAAAATATGTAAAACCACAATTAGCCTCTTTGTGGCTTGCTGAAAGCTGATACAGCAGTTGATAATTTACTTTTATCCAAAAAAAAGAGAGTGAAGGAGGGAGAGGAGGGGAGACGGTAGGAGAACATTTCCTAGGTTTCTTATATTTAACTTACTTGTTCATTTCAAAATGTAGGTGTGTGAAGAAAAGATCAGTGGAGCTCAAATTCTAAAATATTCTGTTTAAATTTTTTTTAATAGCGTAAGGGAAATGCTGACCCTCTAAGTCCTGCAATAGAGAGCAATGCCACTGACTTGAAAGAAAAGCCTTTGATTGATGATCTTGAAATTCAAGTTGAAAGTTAAAAACAGAACACACATAAAACCCAAACATACAAAAAGCTACCAAAATTTCTACTTTAAGCCATTTCAAGTTAAAACCAGGGGCTCCAAGTGAAAGTTAACAAAGGTTTTAAATGCTTATGATTAAGGGTAAAGCAGTTGTTCTAGGAAGCTTAATTAGCACGAAGTTCAACAATGTTGATCAGAAGTTCCCTAATGTGAAAACCAGGAAATAAAATTTTTCTCCTTCACTGTAAGTGTCAAATCTAAGATCCATACTGTAATTATAACCAAATTTTTATTTTTTCAGTGCGAAAAAGAAGCTTTGAATAAAGGATTTTACAGAAAGGCCTTTCAACACCCAAACATAAAAG